TGAAGTCCCGCAAGACGTTGTAGCAATTCTCTTTGTTGTGGTGGCCCGCTTGGGAGATGGCGCCAGTCATGAGGGACCAGATATAGGACTGGGTCACCAAGGTGAGCACGTCCGTTCCCGGGGATGGCAAAGGCATCCACAGATCCGTTCGACTCCATGCTGGGGTCTGTAGCCATTCGGTGCGTCCATAATGAGGCCGAAGATGGTCATTCGGGAGCCCACTAGGTGATAGTCCAGCGCGGATTCCATCGCCACCATCATTGACGTGTTGATGAACCAGGGTGCGTCCTCGGCAAACGCCAGGTAAGGGTAAGTGCCCGAACTGATGGATCTTCCGTGGTGGAATGGGGGGCAAAGCTGGCAAATGCTGGTGTATGGTGGCTACCCGGGAGGCATAGGATTTGGTGGCGCAGGGCCGCCAGCGACGGACGTGGGCACGGTGGAGCGAACCGGCACGAGTGGGAACGTTGATGGCATTGGGCGGGGTGTGCCAGGTTGTGGCATCAGGTGTGGTGCTGTTAACTGGGGATGACTGCCCAGCTGTGGCATGTCTTGTTGTGGTCTTGCTGGTGACGGTGCCCTGGCTATGCTCGTGGCTGGAGTGAAGATCTCCACAACGTGGTCGCCCTGGTCGTTCCAAAGGGTCGTAGTCCTGTTGCGCCGCTGGTGGTGGTTGCTGCGTCGGTGGTCTTGATGGCTGTGGTGGTGGTGCCTTCCTGCCCGATGCAATGGTCTGGGCTATCACTTTGAGCTCGGCCGGAGGTGCCTTGGCTGGTATAGGCACATCGTCGTCATCTGGCACAGGCGGTGGTGCTTTCTTGGGGGCTGGCGTCGGTGATGTCTCCACAGGTGCGCCACAGGCTTGCTGGATCAATCTCGACGTGGGTGATGCTGCTCGAGGTGGTGAGCGTGGCTGCTTGTTGTGAGGCGATGACTGCCGCAGTGATACAGGTGGGAACTTTGCTGGCACGAACGGAGGCGGTGCTGCCTTGATCAGCGGTTCGGAGCCGCTTGGCTCATGTATGCTGCGTCCGAATGATGGCGCCGAAGTGGAGCTCGTTGAGGTAGCCATCACCCGGCTGACAAGGTCGGGGTAGGTGAGGATGCCCTGGTCGGTGTACCTGCCCTCGTTGGTGTGCTGGGACGGGATGATGTGTACCCACCGGACCGTCTGGTGCTCGGTGACCTGCCTCGCCCTGTTTGTCGTCCTGCTCCACCTCTGGACAGTCGGGTGTCTGCCACCGGTGTGCCTCCTGCCTGGATGTACTGATAGTACTCGTCTGCTGTGGCCCAGCGGGTCCAATTCATCCCGAACGCGAAGTTGCGACCGGCCATGATGTCTCCCGTGGACATGGAGCTGAGCAGCATGTTGGACCCTGATTTCCGGGTGACGACCCCGAAGCGCTTAGCCGCTTGGATGTAGTTCAGGATGATGCGCGGCCGCTGCCGTGTATGCTGTAGATATGATGCATGAACTGCTTCAGCAAAGGTGTTACCATGACATTCTCACAATGTTCCCTGGTGCAATGTCCCCTAAAGAAGTTCCTACAAGGTGCGTTAAGGGGAACCCAAGAAAAATCAATGAACTCAGGATGGACACACTCGCAATGAGGTCGCCTGCAGCGCTGTCGAGAGCAAACATCCAGGCACACTCGGCAATCTATGGTGAACACTGCTGGGATCCCATCCGGTACATGCTCCGGGATTTCACTGGTGATGCTGAGGGGAGGTATCACCATTTCACCTGTCGTGATGTTTTGCCCGAAGAAGATAGCCCACTCACGCATTGTTACTGCTGGTAGTTGGCTCCAATCGGGGTACGGCTCGACGTCCGGATTCCGAGCGATGAACTGCTGGTTCGCCATGGTTGTCTAGATCGTGTGGTGCACCTGATGTAGAAGATGAAGAGGGCAAGGGTGTGCTCAAAATGATGTCCTCAGCCTCGCGGAGGAAGCCAGCAAGGAACTCGCCACGCAGACGAGATTTGATCACGATGAAGAGGTCGTTGAGCGCGAAGTCACAAGCCTCGCGATGAAAGTCACCGACCTTGCGGACGATGTGTTGTGTGGTTTTGTTGTCAGACTCAAGCTGTTCCCAAAACCAATGTTGCCGTCTCTCGAGAAGCTGGTGCAATTGCTGTCGGTCTGATGTGCTAATGATGAACGAAGGTGTTCCAGAAGCACAATAGCAGCACCGATGAGAAAAGGAACTGATGTTCCAGGCAAGAGCACCAGCTGTAACCAAAACGGCGACGGTTCAGGCACAAACATGGAATCTGCATGCATTTGTGGTTACCAGCTTGGTGCTACAAGAATTGTCATTTCTGACGCAAGCGTAATACACGATAATTCTTGGCCCAAGTGCTCAATCTGAAATAGGAACTGGCGGGCATGACTGATGAGCAATGCTTCAAGAATAATCAACTAACAGTTTCCAAAATAAGTCTGGTCAGAATATGACATGCCAACGTCTCCTTGAGAAGGGAGATTAGCAAAACATTCCGAATTCCAAAGAAGAAAAATCCGAAACAAAGATAGCAACCGCTGGGCATGTCCTATGCGTGTCTTATTTGCTTTGCCCCTTCCTGGAGGTGCTCTCCGGAGGTAAACCACCAGAAGCCGCAACAATGCAACAACATCAACAACAACCACGTGGGGTTCTACGTTCGCTTATGCATCACGCTTTCCAGCAACAATGCTTGCTTAGCAGCTTACATCGACAAGATTTATGACCACAGCTAAAGCTTTCGCGAACCCTTTCGTCAATAGCCATAATAGCCCACGGACGGATTCCCGTGCTGCAAGTTTTAATGTAAAACTTGTCGAACAGCAGCGCCTGTGTTTTCTATGATACTTGTATCTTTCAGGTTCTTCGTGAAAGCAAAATGCAAGCACAGTTGCTGACATCAAGAACCAACAGAGCGCTTGAACTCAACAATTCCTTGAAGTCGACAACAAGGCTTTTCCATGGATTGGATAAACAAACGAAACATGAGACTGTACAAGCCAGCGCCAGGTCAATACATGACTAGGTACAATGCTCGCAGCTTGCTGTTGGTGGTGCTAGCGCATAACATCATTACCGTCACTGGCGGCTGTCATCACTGTACTTCATCAGCTCATAGCATCTTTGATGTACCACCACAAGCTGGATTGGGCATGCTTCTGCAAGAACTTGCAGGAAAGCTAGTGGAATCCAGTTGTTTGTTCCTTTGACGGTCTGCGCTACTGTTCCAGTACTTGAATCGTGTCTAGACTGCTCCATACTCCGACTTGTCCCTCCTTTTTGCTGCTGAGTCGTGCAGTTGCAGTTTCGCCGAGATCTTATGAACTCAGCGGTATGAAACGTGGAAGGCGAAGAACAGCGTAGCATGGCTTCAACTGTTCTGCCAGACACTAGCTTAGCTGCTTAGCTACTGGCGAGCGAGATACATGCTATCTCGCTCCAAATTCGACTGCGGCGGTTGCACAAGCAATTCAGGTTGATTGATTCGGAGATTCAATATCAGACTCTGTGCTTTCGGAATGTGCAACGGGAAGCCCTCAGTTCCTCGAGCTCTTGCTCTTAAAGCTTGACCTGACCTGGTCAGGCGCACAAACAAGCAACGCTATCCCAGCTTGGGATGCAATCTCAAAGCCAAAACTTCCGGATGCTCAGTACAGCGATCTCTTATTCAGCCAGGTCACTATGGCTCCAGCCAGTCGCAGCACATACTCGGAAGCTGACCTGCAAACTGCAAGCTACCATAATCTTGCGCTACAGGCAGTGAACCAGGCCTCCTCGACGAAGCTCATTTGACTAAACCTAGCATGGCATTGCTTGCTCACGAACACCAGCAACAAGGAGAAGTATGCAGCGCTGACAACAGGGCTGAGCTGAAAGCTCGGAGATGCATTGCGCATCCTGACAGCGTACGCAGTGGAACCTGAACCTGAGCGTTATCAGAAACATTGCAGTCAACGTCCCGGCAGCCCGGCAGCCTGCTCGCAAGTTGTGGCAGGTGCTGATCTGCTTTCAAAATGTGTTTGCTACCTTCATGTGCCACCCAAATATTGCGTCCAAGACACTCTGGGAACAGTGTCCTGGTCTGCATGGTACTCATGAAGGGCTGCCAACTCGAATGATTCCCAACATGTGTGTGGACAAGCGAGTTCTTTGGTGCCCCACTGGTTGAAGACCTGCCGGTGCCAGCACCAGGGTGTTACGTCATAGATGGTCCTCAAGCACATAGCATCTGTTGCAGCAGTTGATTGACATGTTCAACAGAACCAGTTCTACCAGCAGTGGGCTGAAATGTATCCACGAACCCTGCACAAACGTCCTGGGAGGCCACTGTGCCACCCAAACCAAGACGAAAATCAGCAAGCAAATGCCTGCAAGAACTTGACCGACAACACAAGGTGCCATGCCTTACAGTCACAGAATGCCCAAGCCTACCACCCACAGGCATCGTTGTGCATATCTCTCATACTTCAACCTGGAGGAGTTGCGCGCTCGGCAGGTGAAGTGGAATCAGCGCCACTCGGCGTACTCTACACTGGCTCATGCTGCCATTGAGAGGCGACGTGGCGAACTCTGCAGCTTCCTCTTCGTCCAGGTTTCGTCCCAGCAGTACTCCTCAGACAGGTCTCCTTCCGCCTTCTTGCGGAATGTAACTTGTATTTTGCCCTCGCTGCATCGCACAAATGAGCTCACTGCCCAGGATGAAGCCGGATACATATCCTAAGCCGTCTATGACAAACGCACTCGCTCAAGGCACGTGCTTGCAAAACAATAATGCTCGCTTCACTTGCCAAGCTTCCTCCAAAGTGCGCCGAGTGGCCTCACGCAACAGTTGTCAACTGGAATGAAGTCCGAGCAAGGAAAGCAGCTGGAATGGTTGCAGTTGCCAAAGGCCAAGTTCTGCAAAACACGCAGGCAAGCTGCTGGTGGAGCTGTCTGCATTTGTGGTGCTGTCCCAGTAGGCCTCATCACTCAGTTGATGTACTTGCAAGAACTTCTCACTCGAAGGTGTTCCTCGCTATCATCTGCTGGCATGCAGGATGAGAGGCCATTCCCACATCACAAGCGAAGAGGAAGAGAAGAATTGCTAATTCTGGTCGTCGGTAGCCTTCAGCTCTGTCTTGCAACATGCCAGGGCCAGCTGACGAGCTTGCAAGAACATGTCACATGCTTCGCCATGCTGGCAATCGCTTGTCAAATACCTGAGGGCCAAACGAGTGTCGGCCCAATTCAGCATGAGCGACTTAGCAAAACATTGCACAACGCGCAGATAAGAACTGCTCTGCACAGCATTTCGCAGCTCGCAGCCTGCTTTTTACATATTCGCTAGACCTGGCTGCAGCAAATGATCTCAACCGTCAGCTGACTCATGTGACTTAATTGCCCAGAACCTTACTGCTGAGCCTGGGGAGTATTGAAAGTGCAAGCCAGGCACTCCAAACGTCATCCCCATCAGAGCGTAGGCCCCACCCGACATCCCGACCAACTCTGCGTGAGCATCTGTCACGGCCTTGCTTCAGCTGCGGCATGCCCTGCACTGCAGGTGATAAAGCAGAACGTCAAAGTAGGCACCACGCTTGCAAGATTCGCTGTTAGAACCCGCTATTCCCCACAAAGACCGGAGGTTGCCATAATATCTCCTTGACGACCCGTCGAAACCTGCTTTGCTAGAGACCTTTCAGTCGCGCGATTTGGGTGGTGCAATTCACATTGGCTGTGCCTGTTACAGCTAATGCTCGTCTTAGGATCCAGCCTCAGAAAGACTACCTAGTACCTTGCATAGTGTTTCCCGAGTTGCGCGGCCTCCATGCAGAGCATACGTCCACATTCCAGACTTGCTCGTGCACTCAGACCGCATATAATATGAGTAGGTGACCCAAGAAGCCTGTTCAGTTCAGGCCTGCTAGACTTTTCAGAATCCTGCAGACTGGTTGACCCGCGAGCAGGGCAAAACCATGATGTACCATGATGCATTCCAGATTGAAGGAATATTGCGGCCAGGAGGCAAAGTTGAGTGCCGCGCACACAACGCCGAGATTGAAGACCAGCTGGGGGGCACAAGGGGCTGGTTACATTTGAACTGCACAACGTCCCCTCGAAGCTGCTCGGTCCACAATTCTTGCCCTGGTAACTTGCGGACGGGTGTCGAAAGTTCTGATGTGCCCATGGTACATCTCTAGCCGGATTCCAATAGCAAGAACCAGCAACGTGTTGAAGCCAATGTGCCTCGCAACGCTTCTGCACATGCATGTTATAAGTTATAAGCCAAAACGAAAACTAGCAAACTCACAGATCTGCATTGGAGCAGTCAACTGCGGAATGCGATTGCTCTTCAGAGCAACAACTGTCATTGCATCGCGGCCCGCTATAACATGCTTCTTTGGGAGAAGTCACCAGACTCCGGAATGGGTGTACCTGGGCATTGGCAGGAAAACAGTTTTGAATAGAAGGGGTCGTGCTAAGTAACCTAGAATACTGTGCTGAGCAGAGGAGTGCTGCGTCATGCTTCTGCAGCCGAGAGGGTAGAGAGAACGCTTTCTACAAACAGCTCTTCAAAGCACTGGACTCGGCCTATTGATGTGAGTTTTTCTAAACTGTATGCAGTTGGCACTCTCTGTGCGTGTCAACATATTATTGCACGCTTTCCGAGTCATGTCGCATTTGTGAGGCTGTGCAAGCTAAACTGCTTAGCCAACAACTGACATGTAATTATGTTACCTGAGCATAGGAAGTCTTTACAATTTACACAAAGGCGTCAAGTGATGCTGTCCTGAGTCTGATTCTCCACAAGACGGATGTTGTGGCAGGTCGGAATGCAAAGCATTCCCTCTGTGATGCCAATAATGGACACTTAGATTCACTTCATGCAACTGGCTGCAAGGGAGTTCATGTCGCCCAGCTTACGCAACATACAAACACGAGTCTCAGGTCCATGAGGTAGCTCTGAAGCTGAAGTTCAGGGCACTGGTAGGAAAGCCATCTCCACATTTCCCAGCGCAGGTCTGTGCAATCCTTGCATGGTCGCTTCATGCTAAGCACATGCTTCTGTCTACCTGCTGCAATGCGACGCGATAAGCCGTGGACCCTGTGGGTCAGCATCGTGGTCCAACCCATAGCCAAGGACTCCAAGCCCGCTAGCGCCTTCTCAAACCTGTCCCACAGGGAGCAGGTCGCTCACCAGCAAAGTGCTCGAACGAGCAACCCTATCAACATGACACCTGTCACACCTGCTTCTGGCGCTGAAGCATACCAAGAGAGATGTAATATACCAGCTCTGATCATGTTTGCCAGACCCGTCAAGTGGCAAACTGGTTCAATTGCTGGAGTCTTTTGTGATGCTTTCTAATACTTCGTTCTTGTTTGACGGTGGTGCCACGCACATCGTACAATTTCAGGCTTCCGGTACGATGATTGCTCGTGCCACTCAACCGCACCGGCGGTTGAGTTTTCTCCTTGCTTCTGTACCTTGAGAAATTTCGTTGGCGCAGTAGGTGCAGAAAGCCCATCCTATGCTTGGGCGCAAAGCCAACCTAAGTTGGGTTGGCACCCTGAATCTCATGGGAGTTGCGAAGCAACCGGCATGGCTTGAAAATCCACACATGGCTTCAACTTGCACTGGCAGCGCACCCGCCATCGTTCTGCGATGCGAAAACTACCTCAATGTCAGAAGACTTGAAAGCCAGGCCTTCTCTCCAGCAACTGCTCGTTCTGTTTTAGGGCTGCCACAGCTTCTCTGCTTGTCTCAGCCCTCGGCCCAGAATGTGACTGCCGCCAGGCATTGGAACACGATGAAGATGGGCCTCTGGCAAAGCAAGATGTCTTTCCTGTTTAAAAGCGCAGTAAATGCCCGTAAGGCCATGGCCAAGAATCCATTTTGTCCTCGACGGCCAAGCCAGAAACAGCCCTGAGAGAGCAGTTGAGATTAGAAACCCTTCTGAGTATCGCAGTTGGATTACGCTATCCAGCGAGCCACACGCTTGAAGCATGCCTTGACTCCAGCCTAGTTTGGAGGTATCCGTGCTCCAATTCAAACAGAATTAGAGGCAACTTGCATCTCCAGGCAGCAGAGATGGTGGCATTAAATTCCAGAACCCTAGAATATTTTTATGCAGGATACGTCACCTGAGCGGTCCACCATCGCTGTGCCAGCGACAATTAATTCATGGGAAAAAAGCAGAAGCGATACATTCAGCTAAGAGTCCCTTCCAACATGCCGAGGTCACTGGGATCCTGCAGTGTAGCATGTGTAGTCTGTCTGCTTCCGCATGAACCTCGTATTTGCGGTTTTCACCTGAGGCTGGAACTGCCTCCCCTGCTGCCTGGCGGATGCGGCCTGGCATGGCTTATATACTTCGCAGATCTTCGCAGCGCAGCGGAGGTCGCGTGCAAAATCCCAAACTGAACTCGGAAGATAACCTTCAATGAGCAGAACATGCGACAGCGCCTTGCAGATTGATTGATCGCTTTAATTTCTTTTTGCGCGCCGACCGCCTCAAAATCTTCAAGGCGGTGAGGACAAAATTTGTCAGAAATTTGGCCATGCAAGGAAGCACACCACACTCAGAATGAGCACGAGCCTGTCTAGAGCTCGTCCGCTGAAAAAGTTTCTAAGGGCATCCATGCAGGATGCATCTTCGTCAAGCAACTCGTGATGCTCCTGCATCCAATGTGGCTTGCTGCAGATGACCAAAACAACAGCATGCTGGGCACGGTGAAGGTTGGCATGCAACATACAATGCAAAGTGTTGGTCCGCGTCCACGAATCTCCTCACCAATCGGGCTCACCAATAATTGAAGTCACACCGTTGTCAGCTACAGATAGTACAGTACCGCACAAAGGCCTTGATACTGTATGCATCCCAGCAGCAAGCAGCAACGGCGACATCTTCCGTAGCAACCAGTGTTTTTTCTGCGCAATGCAGTTGAAGCTCCGAATGATGCTGTGCCTTAGTGATGTTGTGTTGTGCTTGCCTTGGCAAGAACCTGCAAAATGTGCCGAGGACTCCCGAGTCCAGGACCGTCGCCCTCGGACTCGCTGAAGCCCATCTGTCCATCGGGATAGGGAATCTGAACAGAGCTCAGGGTTCCTGAAACGGATGCCTTCTGGGGCAGTGGTCGAGGGGACACGCGTCCATTGCCATTCATGGCAAGAGAGTTACCTCGCCTTAGGCGAGGTAAAAAGACACCTTAATGCCATGTTGATCTGAAGATCCTTACTCAGTTTGTATCTTGTGGAGAGCGAACATGTTCGTACTCAGGATAGTTGGTTGACGGTCTTTTGACGGGCCTGTATCACTGTGGGAGTCGGACCCATGTGATCATATTGTGTGTTTGTTCTAAATTCTTAGCCGCCTCTGTGTACTCCTAAGCTGCAAGCCGAGTCCACGAGAATCCTTCTTGTTCCTCATGTGAGGTTGCATGACAAGGAGCTCTCATCAGCTCGTGAACTGCAGCCCCTGTTGAGACTTCCCTCGTCTTCAGCAGGCACGATGACACAAGATCGGAAAGTCACTTCACGCAACTTTTCGCCAACTGCTCTCCTGGCCTTCATTCGAGCTAGATTCTAGCTAGCATGTGCGCGGACCAAGCACGTCCGCTCTGACACGCTGCGGAAGCTCTTCGATGTTTATATAATTCCAAGCAAGATCGGTTTAGGCGACTGCGCCAGTGGGTCCAACTCCTTATGCAGGTTGCTCAGGGTTTTCACAACTTTGAAACTGTTTTGGTGCCTGGGGGTGGCAATTTTTGGAAGAACAAGAGCTAGCAAGCCTTCTTGGAACAGCGCCGCGAGCAAGATGTTCAGCTGTTAGGTAGCAGCATGCTCCACCTGCTTCACTTGAGCCTCCATGAGGGCTTGTGCAGCACTTGGGTGGGAAAACAATGCATACACGGATTGGAGCGACCTGGGCATGCCGTACAGTACCCATGGGGCGGGTCTTCATGCTTGGCTGCATGATGGTGAGCAGGATGTTTCAGCATCAGCGCCCGGCCTGCGCATGTGGCCACAGGGTGAGGGCTAAAGGGGTTGCATGGTTATCAAAAAGCGGGAGTCCTACCCGGACCTTCCCTGCATCCGAAGCTGTTGGTTTTGTTTCATGAGTATTGTCATCAACCATTAATTTGCACATATCTATGATCACGCCTTCTCCTTGCTTGGCATGCTTTCCCATCTGCCCCAACAGTATGTAATCCTATTTGAGAACCTCCAACACAGGACCACAGTCCCTAGACCAGCGCTGGCCCAGTATTTGGTGGTATCTGAGGAATTCATGGCTGCTAAACACAAGATGACGAGCAACGGTTCCCTCACGGCTTTCAATAACCCAGGTGGATGGCAAAACATGTGATGATGAATGATATGTCGAGAAGTTGGCTGACCATGACAGAGCAAAACAACCGCAGAGGCTGCTGATGTGTTGCTTAGTGGACAGGTAAGGCTCCTAAAGAGACTACTTGTACGGATGAAGCTGATGCGAGCAGCGCAGCATATCGCTGTGTCCCGTCCCAGGCCTGGAGAATGCAGCGCAGCTTCTTCCGCTTTGCATACTTTTGGGGGACCTGGTGATGAAACACAAGGCTGCTTGAAGTTCGACAGCCATGTTGGAGCTTGTCAGCGTGAAGGCCCTAAAGCCCCACCACAGTCTCATTTTCAACTGCAGTTCTTCCTGAGATTTCCCTTTACCAGCACCTTTCGGCTTGAGGTGGTCTAACTTGGATTTAGCTGCAGCGGTGCAACTAACTGTGCAGCTTGTCAGGCTCAGGCTTGTCAGACACGAGCAAACATAAGTGAACCGCGCCCTGTGAGGCTGAGACTACAGCCTCGGCCATCAGATCAAAGTCCCTGCTGCGCGTCTCCTGAGCGGCAACACACCCTGCATCATTCATCCAAAAAATGCTAGAGAGCTTATGTGCTGTCAGATTGGGCTGTTGACATGTAGTGACTGTACCATTTTCATTCTCGTTTCAGCACATCCAGCGGCATCAGGGCACGCGCAGGGGAATCCGCTGACCAGTGTTTGGATAGATAGCTGAAGCCGTTCCATCTGAAAACAGCTCAAGCGCTGAGGGATGAGCCGTGCCAGTGTAGTACTGAGAGATGAGTGAGTCAGCAAGGACAAGTTTCCCATCGCAGCGATCGTGTATGCGTCCGTCTGGCTGTGCAGTATGACCAAGGACCATCCTGGTTGCCCCAGTGGCCTGCAGTGTCTTCTGCACTTCCTGACAAACCTTTGACTCTGGACCAAGTGCTAGCTGTCTCGTCCAGAAAGGGCCATCATTTCCCAGCAGAGGGGAAGGATCCTCGCTGAGATCACCAGCATTGTGGCCGATGAGCTGTCGTGCAGCACTGTTGACAGCGTCTATACCTGATTCCACGAAGCCTGGCAGGAGTCCAGCATGGACGAAAAGCACCGGCTGGGCGAGGCCATCCTCCGGACCCAGCAATGCTACAGCCTGCATTCGTTGGCGAATAGCCTGTCCAAGCCAGCCGTCAACTGAAAAGGCTTCGGATCTGGAGGAGGCATCCGCAAGCAAGGACAAGGTATCCTTCTTTGTAGCATAGCGAAAGTCATCTTGCAAATTCATAAGTTCATGGTTACCCAGGAGCAGAATCACTCGACCACCCTGCTGGGGAGCCTCATCCTGCAATCGAAACAGGGTACGGAAAATGTCCCCCGATTCATCCCCACGGTCAGTGATGTCTCCGGTTTGTACAAGGATTGCCTGCCCACCTGTCCACTCACCGGAACTTCCCATCAATCCCAGTGTTGTTAAGATCTTCACCGTACTCTTGTAATCCCCGTGCAGGTCACCAACAGAATAAACTGGTCGCGAGTCAGTCTGTAAGGAGGATCTTGCCAGAGCAACTTGTGGCATCATAACTGAGAGAAAGAGCATCAAGGCACCAGCTGCTTGCCATGCACTCATGCTGGCTCTCTCAGCTTGAGGAACATGTCGGGCAGTCCGAGGTGTTGCCTGCATTTTAGGCAATGGTTCACACGAATGAAAGGAGCTACAAAAGGCAAGCACCGTTGTCGACAAGGTGGCCAGCACAAAATGTCGTGCAGTGCCCTTGAACGGACCAATCCGGACCATCAGGATGCATGAGCTTTGTAGTTGTCAGAGCAAGCTGGCTGCAAAGATGGGACATCACAAATCATTATATCCAATCCATTTGCGCAATGCGGGAAAGACAACGACGCCCACGACGGGGATTAGAAATGATGCATGTCTTCGAAAAACTGGAGAAAGCATGAAGTCCATACAAGCGATGCCGCTAATTAGGCGTCTAGAACCGTCTGCCGTGCGCCTTCTCCCCCACTCCAAACCTTCCAAAGCGTTTCCCCAACACATAAAGCTTTCACACATGCTTTCTCCCTCCACGAGTCCCGCGTGTCCGACGCAGTGCAGTGGTCCTGCTGGAGTTTACATCCTCCCCATGAGTGTCTCCAAGTGGGTCAGTTCCTGCTTGGATTCCCTTGCGGTGTGTCCTGGTGGGTCCCGGTTTGGGCAGCAACTCCTCTGGCTCTTACGGGTCGCAATTATGTAAGGAACATTGGCACAGTGAGATATACGCATATGGGGGCTTGTAAGGTCTTGTCATCAAGATTTCGAGGCCCAGCAACCATCTTACATGCATACTGTCTGCCGCCCTTCTGAAAGTTGACCTTCCGACTTCTTGGCCACCGAAATCATCCCGATGTTTGGTTGAGAGCACAAGGCTTGACAAAGAGGCCAGGGGAAAATATCATCGAGCCAGGAGGCCAGGAATGAAAACAAAAACCTCTTTCTCTGATTGCTGTGCTGGAAACATATTCAAGCTCCAGGAGCCCAAGGCTCCGAGGGGCTGGGGCGGATGCGCACTTGCGCTTGCAGCTACTTATGGAAGGGATTGCTTAATTGATTACGCTGACACGGTAATGAGAGTACAGTCTGCAATGACGGATAAGGGGCTGCTAGCGCTTGAGGATCTAGAGGACCAGTGTCAAGCAAGGCATGAGTGCATGGTTAGATCGCTTTGGACAGCCTAGCTAATGCGCTCACATGCAACTGTTTATCAACTTTGACTTGAAGTGTCAACACAAGGCTGCTACACAAAGGTCCTGTTGGAGCATCCCACGCGCAACATAGCTCAGAGTCCTCGAAGCCATGTATGAACAACAACAACAACAACAACAGCAGCAGCAGCAGCAGCAGCAGCAACAGCAACAACAACAACAACACAGTGCGCAGTATGGCAAGCCTCAAGGAGCAATCCTGCGAGCGGCGCCGATCTCGATACGGTCTACCACGCATGCTTTTGTTTCAAGTTCATCTGATCCGCTGAAGCATCTCACCCTGCACCTGGTGAAGAAAGGGTCATCCTCCTTCACAAATGGAAAGGACTTCAAGTGACTGAGGCACCCTTGCAGGGTCTTCCAGAGGTCACAAGGTCTGCCAATGTCTGGCCCCTAAAGCATGTGACGTCCGACTGCATATTGCCACAGCTGCTTTTCTCTGACGCCGAGGCAGTCACTGAACTGAACACAATTCTTCCAGCCAGACGGCAGGAAAAGATGAGAACAACCATTTATTGCCTGTGCATAGAGAATCCAGCCCACTGCCTGCAAGTTCGCCCTGCGACCCACAGCTGGACTTTGAAAATCACTGGGTGCAGAAGACAGCTACCAGACCCGCAATATCCACTGATCACTCAGAGAACGACCGGAGTCCCTACCACGACTCCCTCCATAGGACCGGCAATGGGTCCACCAACCTCACGTTGTAACGGCGCTGCCACAGACACAGCTGACACAGTTCTTGAGAATGCTGCCAAGTCGCCTCCAGTGAAACGCCGATGACGCTGCCCTTAAAATCGATCTGGTTGAGTGCCTCTTCCCTGGCTGCAAACACATGCAACATATGAGCAAGCTTGAACACAACGCATTGGCCCTCAAAGCAGTGCCTCTTGAGATGCTTCGTAATGGCACCACCTGGAGGATCAACTTGTAAAGAAGCGAAATACTAGTCTGCCGGCTTCCCAGCCCAGGTACGGAAGAGCGTGATCCATCCCTCCCCGCGACGTAGATGGCATTGAGAAAGAGGGCCCAACCTGTCCTCCAGAGTACCTTGGGTTTGAAGTTCCTGTAAACAATCTGAAGACACACATGTTTGCCTGCAACATGCGGTGAACTGTGCGACCGAGTTTCGGCGGAAATTTGAATCTTTCGGGTACAAGCACAGACTTTCATGTCCAGGTATGCTTTTGTCCTTGTCAGGCCATCTGCAGTGGTCTTCTGCAGAAACGATGATGTTGCAGAACTGACTGAGGACTGCACTGTGCTAACTTCCAAAACACCACCGTCATATTGCTCAATTGCAGCCTCCGTGGGATGCCACTGTTGAGGGCACGCTGGCTTTCAATTGGTGTCCGTTAAACACATTCGCGCCTGGGCATACTCAGGGCTCACAAATGCAATGCTCGCGCAGTCTTCTGTAAGAGTACATTGCGCAACAGGGCCAACATGGCGCTCAAAGACGTACTGCACTTCCTGCCGAGCCAGTTCAAGTGCACGCTGCCGGTCCACAGCCTACCCCGATTGCACAGGTCCTGATGCTTCAACCGCTTGACCAGATTGGACACCTGACGAAACAGCAACTGACATGATCTTTGCAAGTTCGCAGTTTTGCAATGCAGGCTTGGTAGAACGGAGCGCCTTGATGCGGGTAAAGGCGCTCCTAGCTGTCAGCAGCCGCAACAACTATTCGAGGATACTAGAGGTCCATTGGTCAGATTTGACTGAGTGATCATGAGTGCCTCGTGCGTTACAAACGGCGCGAATGCAACCCTATGAAGCTTGCAAGGGCATTGCAGGAGACATAGCTGAAACCAGACCCAGCGATTGACACCTTCGCATTGAATCAGCTGGTGCTTAACTGCTTTCAGGGCTAGATTGTCTAGCCGGAGCCACCCCTGACTGAGGTTGCAGCGGTACCAGTTCCCTGCCTTGCCTCTACATCGCAATTTCCAACTGAAACTTTCGCAAGCAGAGATCCGAACCCCAAATCCAAACTACAACCGCTTGATTCATGTCACCCCAGGCTGATTCCACTTCATTGGTGTGCCCTTGTCAGTTTGCAGGTTGCGTGCACAAGCCGGTCCAAATCTATGGCTGAGAAACGGTTTTCAGATCAGCAGCTGCTGCAAATGTGACATCACATGTCTGCTAAGTCCAGATATGAGGCATTCAGGCCAAAATCTCGGGGATCGATTGCCAAATTACCAAACATCAAACGGGTCTCATCTGTAGGCGTATACGGCATATACGATGACAACAGAAATATGAAGCATGACTGTTCAGAGGCAGCTGGCATTTACAGGAATGACTGCTCCAAAATCAGTTGCGGTATGTTTCCTATGTGTAGTTGCAGGATGTCAGCATGAAGCAACATCTGACAGAACAGCAGATGCAAGCAGAATGCAGGCGGTCTCCTCATGTTGGGGGGTAGGGAGGAGATGGTCTCCCATTGTGCTGTAAGCCCGGGTGGCGGCACCACCGCACCCTTAGCAAAGCAACTCTGATGACTCTGCATTGCATATGCTGCAAAACTGTTGCAGCCAGTAGTCTACCTTTGCATGGGCAACAGTTGTGTCTCGACCAGCCTTGGCACCACTCCCCATAGCTCAATCTGAAATGGATAACACACAAACCGGCCGGAAAGCAGTAGTCCAGTGCTACTGCAATTATCAGTCCCGCACCTGGCTATCATCGGAAGCCTCAGCACCGGAATCACAACCACTCACACGTTCAGACTTTAGGGTGCATAGCAGTGTGCATCAATTGCATGACAGGAGGCGGAAGCACCCGCCATCAGCGAAAGACCAGGAGGTCCACTTGCAGCCGCCGCGAAGCCCTAAGCATGCAGGTCAAGTTGTGACCCAACACTTGCCAGGGCTGTGCTTGAGCTACTAACAATATCTTTCAGCAGAATTGTGCTGTGGTTAATAGATACACAAATATCTGATTGTAATTTTCTAAGGCAAATATGCAGTCTATCTTACTACACTTCATCCGGGAGCGGAACTTTCCGGGCACCAGGAGCCTGTCTGGTAGCATCATGAGAATCTTCATTGTCTTGTACTGTACGTCAGCTTCTCATGACTCCAACATCATAGTGATGCAACAGCAGCTGACAGTACAAAACATTAAGCATGCAGCGCCAATGCAATTTGTAGATCATCAAAATTACGGTACCTCTTTGCGTCCTATTTACAGCACGGCCCTCTGATGTTTGGAGCATTCAGATGAAAGGGACCATCATTTTGACAACCCCCCCTTTTGAAGCCTTCTCCCCAAAAGCAGTGGGCAACTCATCAGGCTGAGGCGGGTGAGCTTGCCTTGGCTGCGCTGGATGGCTTTCCCAAGGTAAACTCAATACTCAGGTCAGAGGGGCTGAAAATACGTCAGGGCCGCGATGAGCCTCAGACCGTGGGACGGAACATTGCTCAAGGTGACATGGCCACAAGCTAGAGTTTAAAATCTTGCTGCCGGGTGGCTCTTCGACTGGGATGTCGATGCTGAGTGACACTGTGATTGCTGGAACAGCTTTTTCACCAGCACCTTTTCCAAGCGTCTTGCTTCTTATCTCCACACCTGACTGACAAGGCGAATACATAGGAAAATCTCATGGATGGGTGGTGGCTATTGGCCTGAATGCATGCCCGCCTGAGCAGGCCGTCTGCACGGGTATTGAACACTTCACCATTGCCTGCTGGCTTCAATGTCGGATGTGGGGAGGGTGCAGGGCAATGTTGCCTTTGCCAAGATTTAGCTCATGTAAGCAGAGCTTCTTGACACACACAAGCCGTTAAATGCAAAGTTGAATCTCCAAATGCATTCAACTCGAACACAGCGCTCGGTTTCAGGTAGGCAGAGCTGTTACTAGTATTTGAAGCATCACCCCATCACACCTCCGCAGGAACCTGCGAGGGTCGCAGGATGTTCGAGTGAGAGCAATACCAGAAATTAGTTCATCCGTGTGTGCTTCAAGGATATCGACTGTGCAATATGTAGCCTTGTGTGTATGTGTGGAGAGGCAACTGCTGCTGTCAACCGTTCTACCCCTGGTCAAGCCAAGAAAGCTGCCCAATTCACGTTCCAGAATGCTCGGTCAGCAAGGAATCAAGTAGCTGGACAACTTCTCATCACTATAGACCTCCAATGCAGGAAGGTCTCAAGCATCCAAAAACAGCAGCACATGTCCTGGTGCAGCAGGCAGCTTTCGCCTTCGCAGAAAACGCGAACTCCTGCCCGATGTTGTCAGGAGCCTCAAACGCTGCATCTGGGCCCTTCTCGATTCTGCGCATTACCACAGTGTTGAAATCACGTGTTTCTTCTTGTGGCGGGAGAGGGCAGTTGATTCTTGCGGTGCCATTCTCATCGGTCATCCACAGCATCTAGATTTTCTGACTGTCAGTCATGACTGTATGCGCAAGCTGCCATTGGCGCATTTTTCAGATTCGCTGAAGCAATTAATTAGATGTGCACTCGCCAAGTGGCGACGGAAGCTCGAATAAAACTCACAAAATCTTTACAGTTCATGAGCATCTGCTTTGAGACTGGCTTCCAAACTCAAATTCACTTCAAGCGAGAGCAGAGAACTCCAGCCATGTTTGTCGAGCTCTTGCGGGCTGTCATTTCAAAGACTACTGCAAGCTTAGAACTGCAGACCTGAAGCTTCCTAATCCTTGCTGCTCTCCTTACTAGGGTGTTTGAAGGCTGCCTGCAGACGGCGCTTTGGCACTTCTCCACCAAAGATCCAGAAGTCCTTGACTGTAGGTGATGCCTTTGCTCAGGGCCACATCATGGACATCATGCAGTACTGGCTGCATGGGCTGCATGGGACGAGAAGGCCCGCTTTTAAAGCAGGCTAGATTGGTGTCTGCACTTGTTCCCCAGGAGCCTGAAACTGCAAAGACGCGAAAGGCAGCAGAGAAGCAGAAGCAGCAACAGCAGCAACAGCAGTGGCGGGCACCCGCAGCAGAAAATTCCAGGCATCAACCGAAGAGCATCATCAACAGCAACTACCCCAGAAACAGAATCAGAGCCCAGTCAACAGAATCAGCAACCAACACAACGAACGAGCAACTTGCCGCATCCAACACCTGCATCGACCAAGGCCGACGGCAGGGAAACAATCAAAACAGCTACACAACCGCCGCCTCTACCACTATGACCAGTTAAGTGGCAGGAAGCGCAACAGATACGTGCAGCTTGCAACAGCCCCACTTGCCGATTTCAAACATCTACATAGACCACTAATTGCAGATATGATGCACGCAACTGCAAGGCAACTGACAAAGGCGGTGATGCAACACCTTCCCAGCGACCGCGACCTTAAACGGAGTCTCTGATGATTATCAACAGCCGCGGCAGCTGATGCTGCACAGGGACTTGTGCGCTTCGCTGCTGATCACGCTGTTGCAAACCTGAAAGAGCAACAGGATAAAACTAGATAGACGGTTCCACAAGAGAATCTGGCAGAACGTCTTCGGCTACTGAAGATCAAGCTGACTTCCTGCAGCCCTCATCTTTCGCGATGTTGATGCCAAGTCTCCTGAAAGTATCGATGCGAGTCGCAAATTGAACAAGCCACCTCAGATGAACGAAGCCGACGCCTGTTTCTGGCCAAAGGCATTCAAATGGCATGCGGCCCAAGAGGCAAAGATATGGATATATCCCACGTATGCCCACTGGCACCTTGAGTCCAAGTTGCGGATACTGCGTTCTAGGAACTGCAGGCTCTCTCAGGGGCATGCAGCCAACCTGAACTGGCCTGAGGCGATGACAAAGCTACGACAGCGGACGAGCTTGGCATCGAAGTTCCAGCCATGCGCTCTTCCAGTGCCTGCTGCCACGCCTGGATGAAGTCCTGGCCATTGGCCTCACTTGCAGAGAGGCGCTTCGCGCAAGCGTGATTGATGCCTGAATGCATGTCTGATACCTTGGCCCATGCCACACCCCACAATATGGCGGAACCTCAGTTTTGCAGCCGTTGACTTCATCATGTTGGACAAGACAGTCACGCCGACCATGAATTTTCAGGAGCAATCTTCCTGGTCAAGAGGCCTCCCATTGCAAGACAGCCGCATGCCAAAAACCAGCACGTCAACTGAATCCACTTCGAGGCGTTGTGCAACTTGTGCTTATGGAGTCGTGACCTTGCAAGTTCGCCAGATCAAATGGATTCAAAATAAGAAGTCTTCAGAAATCTGAGAGCTTCACCAGTCGGGTTGCTCAAGGAAAAGACAGGCAACGCACCAGAGCTGGGAGCCTGTGCTTGAGACAAAATCACGTGCCAAACTGTATCTACAAGAAGGCCTGCGAGAAAGCACCCGAGACCGCAGAAATGCATTGCCAGGTGGTCATCCAAGCGGAAGCAGGCGACAAAGCAGAGTCCGACTATCATGAGGCTCGCTCCTTCATGACGCAGCATTGTAGTGGTTTAAGGGCTTCTCCTTTCTTAGGCTGTCCTGACGCGCTCACCAAAGGCACTGCGGGTAGGCCCGTAGAAAACCAAGAATGCTTGGGGTGCTGGACGTGTTCTGCCGTCACCCGCTGCGTGCACAGGATGTGCCAGAGCCATGCAGCTAAGAAGCCAGCGTGACAGAGAGCTCCGGAGACAAACTCTGCTTTGGTTTCAGGATGTGTGCCGAACTGCGACAGGAAAGGCAAACCTCGGCCTCCACTTTGTACCCAGCTCACAGAAAATGCCATCACCATCGCCAATGGAGCGCACACAACTAGCCCCCACAAGCACCTGCCGGGGGAGCTGCCATGCAAGAAGACGTCTAAATGAACTTCTGTCTGGCACAACAGCATGACAGCTCAGACGGGGCATTACACCTTCGGCGCCATGTCTTGTTTTGTCGCGCTTCCCCCATTCATGTGAATGGGAGCCCAGAAGGTGCAGAGGACTGGTTGGCTTCTGGCTGGATTTCACATGGCGGACTAGGCCGAACATGCTGGCCATTGTTAAAGACCTTGGCCTAAAGACGGTGTCGGTGACGCTGAAAGACCGGAGCACACTATCAAGCACAGCTACCGTACCATGATCTGGATGAATGCTGCCGCTTCTGCAAGCAGTGCCTGCTGCTGTACACAACACCCAAGGCAGCGCGAGCCCAAAGGTTCAAGCACGCTAACGTGATGGAACATTGCTTGGAATTTGTGAGACTGAAGATATTACGCTAATGTCTCATGATGTGGCGTAAGGACAGTCTTGCATGGGAGCAAGGCAGGCTCCAAGCGTTGGTCGAGACAAGGTGCTCAGGCTAGGTCAAGCATGCCCTGCTGCATCTAAGAATCTAGACAGCACGACCCACTCTTTGGCATCGATATGCAACAAGGCAACAAACCCCATGCTAGCCATATTCTCGTAGCAATTTCAGGATGTGCAGAACAAGCCGGCCTTGTAGCAAGAAGGCCCAGGCACCAGTAGCCGTGGACGACGCTCTGCGCTGCTCTTTCCCCGGTCCGATGCTGGCATGCATAGCGAGCTGCGGCATGATCGGTCTGCAGGAAGAGCTCGATGTCAGCCTGACCTGCAGGGAACTGCCTCTCTCTCTCACTACCAACAAGAATTCTTCCGTCTTCAGACCTGCTCGCATGGCGACATACAAGATACCCAGAGTCAGCCACTCCAGCGCAGCGCAGGTGTTGACCCAAGGCAGCCCGTGCCAACTACTTGCGCTGCAATAGGCACGAAAATCCTCCCGCGCGAGCTTCTGCAGCTTCGGCCACCAGTTCCAGTCAAAGAAATTCGGCCGCGCATCGTAGGCAGCACAGAGCGACACGAAGACCCCAAAGAAACACAGGCACGCGGAGGCTGCAACCGGAGTCATCGCAGAGGGGTAGTGGCTCTCTCGTGCAATGGTTGATCTCCAACTCTGCACATAGACTGCTGTAGCGATTGAATATCCGCACCCGCCCCAAAATACACAGCAGGCACAAGCAAAGTGCGAGTAGCTGAAATGACTCCAAGGGAACATCCCGATTAAAAATGTGCCGATGACTACCAGCTTTCCAGAGAAAGCACATAGAAAATGGGCCAGCTCGAATTCGTCAAGAAGCTTTAGTTCCATCAAAAGCTTCTGCCTAGATAGGATTGCCAATTGTAGCCAGATTCCCACCAGCAAGGCTTCCACGATTGTCCCAACAAGGAAGACCTTGGGTGACGCGAGGGCGAGGTCTGAAATGAAGGGCATGTACGAGGTGCATCCGCCTTCGAGCCAGGCCCCGTAACATGTCATGAGCACCAGCACCCACCATGCAACAGCCAGCCCGTACCAAGACTTGCGGAGACGCGCTGAAGCAAAGCAACGCCTCATCGTAAAGTATTTCTTCTGTCCGCACAAGTGCAACAGAAGGGTCTCTATTCGGAGATGCCGTGACGCTGTATTCATCCATCATCAAAGCACCGTGAGAAGGTGGCTATTGAAGCTGCCACACTACTCTTTTGCAACTATCCTCTGGATGTCTATGCGGTGCCATTTTCTTTCTTCTTTCAGGACTTTGGCCCAATAATCCGGGAAAAGCAGCATCGGACTATGACTATGATAGCGTTGCAGTGGCATGCTGACTGCAACTAATAGATTGCAGACTATGTGCTCAGAACTCATCGAAATTCTGCTTAATCGTAGAATACCGTTCTGCACCTTGAGCCTGGTGCAGCAAACGTGAAACGTGAAGGAATGATGAGTAGAGAACAACTGCCAAAGTCACCCTGGCACATCGTCAGCAGCGAGCTCTCCAACAACTATGATAGACTATGATGGTTTCTTCTGCAAATCTGTAGGGGAATGTTGGACCCCGTCTTGTAAGGATATGATCGAGTGCCTGGAGGTTCACGACGTCTTGGGGAGCAAGTGGCGAGCGATGCAATCTCATTTTTGGACCCTGTCACCCAGCAAGGCTACAAAAAAAGACTGCCAATGCTCTTCAAGCTCAGGCCTCTTCAGGATGATCCAAAAGCTACGGACTCATCTTGTCAACACACTAAAGCCGAACAATAACAAATGACATATGGATGGCTGCGAACTCTAAGAAACCCAGTCGGGAGTCCATATTGAAACCAATTCCGGTGTTTTGGAGTATGCAGGGAGACGGCTTTTTGAGAAACTGTCCGAATGTACAGTACTTAGCATGTTTTGAGGACAATTCCCGAACAAACTCAATGTACTGCAGTCTACTAAGACTCCTGATTTGACTATGCCTACATGGCACGCGCCTGCTTGGCGGTTGAAACTAAGGCCCCTGCGCAGGGTTCTGTGCCTCCATGTGTTGAGTGTTGCTGCCGCTGCTGCAGCAACAGCAATTGTGTAACTGCAGCTGCCTTCACGCTTCTGGCTCGCTTTGATCTTGTTACTGCTCCACGATACTAAGCACATGCTGGGGTACCCTGAAAGTAACGCTCGACGCAGTTGGGTGTCCAAAGCATGTCCGGAAGCCAAGCCGAGCGACGTGGCATCGGTCTAGGCTGGCTCAACAAGTATCAGTACTGCAGGCAGGAGGCTCGAGCGTAAAACCCTGCATTGAGACAAAAGCTGCGTCCGCACCTAAATTCAAGCAGGGGCACATGAAAACAAGACACATCCATCAAAGGCAGGCTTCGGGGAATGCGCCATGAGTACCAGCTGGGAAATAAGCAAGAAGCATCATTTTGCATGTTGGCCTTGCGCTGTCGGTCCAACGCATTGGGAAAGAGAGTTTGGTTGTATGCCACTTTATGGCGATACAAAGTTGCGTATGCAAACTGTCCGCTAAAAATGCCCTTGGCCTGAGCCACAATCTGCCACAATAATTCTTCGGAGTCCTTGCGTCCGGTAGTATTTGAAGTGCAGCTGCTGACTAGGGCAGTATGCAGCTCGACACGGCCGACTCTGTCACTTGCCTGGCAACGTGGGATCTCCAAAGGACACAAGATGCTTTTGCCAGGCTCTGCCAACCTGGTTCGCACTCCGCAAATGGATCATAGTTCCTTTCGCGCCAGGCAAGGAGACTGTTGGCTTTGACTGACTCTATCGGATGTGTAGGTGCCGGACAAGTTCCGCATGCCACCTGCATCAAGACACTACAAGGCTTGTAGCACTCGTCAAGTCTCGTCAAGGCCAAAAGACAATTGACAGAGTAGCCCGCCCAGATTTGCTGGACCAGTCGATCCAGGGCCCCCAGGTGCCCCTGGCACTGAGCCAAGGTTTGGCCTCAGGTAACCAAACGAAAAGTGCAACTTCTCTTGTGGCATGCTGGGCCCCAGCATGTTCGAGCCCAAGCCTGCGCAGCAAAGCACAACTCCAGTGCTGGCCGGGACCGAACCGTTCGGATTGACCCAGTGTTGCTGTGGGATGCCTGGAAGTGCACCTGGGTACCTCCAGTGGCAACCCTTTTTGCAGGACGGCTCACAGCGCACAAGCTGCTGGAGCTTCAAGGCGCCGCACTGGCCAGGAGCTCCAGCACCCAGCCCTGAGCAGCCTGAGCGGCGCTTTGGGGACATAAAACGTGACAGGAGCCGTTAACTGGCACCTCCCATGTTCAGCGCTCCCAGGCCTGCGTATGGCAACTATAAAGATCTCTACAAAGTATCAAATGCTCGTGATGGAACCAAGCCTTGAGCCGGAGAAGGGCCCAGGCCCATTCCGTTGCATCCACCTCCCAGCCACTCATAGCTGATAAATTTCTTCTGAACTCAGAGACGAGCGCTCGGGGGCTTTCCGAGTCTCGCACCTGCCCCGCCAGAGCCCTGACCAGAAGAGTCACAATGAAGATCAAAAGAAAAAGAACCTCTACATTGACTAGCATCTGGGCAGCTGACAAGCCCTGCATTTGCAAATGGATCGAAACTTGGAGTTGCTGCGGGCGCGCTGCCAGCAGCCCTGGATTCCGCAGAGCTAGGGTTTCCCTGCAAACCTAGGTGACCTTTCGTGACTTGAGGGCCCCACGCAGCGAATGGATCGAAGCCGTCCCCAAGACCAGTTGATGGTGCCTGCCGGCTACCATACCCATCACTTCGGTTGAAGTTCCTGGAGCAAGCGCACCAAGTAGCCAGAAGACATGTCGGAAGCACGGACGGCGTCGGCTTGTCAAGCAACCCACCGCCAAGGAGATCGTTGCCCGCCTGAGCGCTTGGAACCATCATGAATCGTCTTAATTTAACACTTGCTGGAGGAAGGGGGAAAGGCAGCTTTGGCGATTTTCAAGCGGCAGAACGTTGGCCGCCACCCTCTAAGCTATTCTACCTCTTGCACCATTTCTGATGAGCACAAATGCTTGAGCTGTTGACTGGCGGTGGAGGTGCGACCGGAGCCACGGGTGCCGCGGCAGCTTTGGCAGGTGCTGGAGGTGCCTCGCGGTTTGGTCAATCTGAAAACTGTAGATTGACCACAGGAACGAGCAGCGCTCTTCTGTCCATCGCCCATGCTCAAGCAACAGCTTTCGGTTTTTCTCTGTTATAGTTTCAAACATGCTAACTTTGTGCTGGCTTCATGTTGCAACACTAGCAGGAGGGTAGAAGCTTCGACAGAATTAAGGACATGATTGGCGTGTCAAAACCGGGCAACCCATCGCACTTCTGTCACTGCCAATGTCTCATCATCTAACGTTGGGGCCGTGGGCCCAAGCCGTCTGCTCGTTGCCGAAGCATTGCTTTCGGAAGTGTCAATATCTGTCCCTCAATTTGTCCCTGTCGTGCCAGTTCTGCCGCTTCGGGATTCTCATTGTCGCGTTGCAAACGTTCAGGATAGATCTCTGCGTTCCTGGGCCCTCCTCATCTTGGCGAGCAAACTGGACCTCTTGTTCCTGAGACCGTCAAGGTTGACTCGCCTATGATAGTCCACCACGTGTTGCTAATACTGCCGCCGGTTGGCAAACTTGGCCAGCGGCGCCGTCTGCCTGCTGTTGAGCGTGGCTCTCGGGCGCAGACAGGTCAACACTAGACGCTCATTCGTGTCCTTATCGAACCTGCAGATGATGTTCTTTCGTCCTTCAAGGACTTTCTGGCCCTTGGTTGCGCGAGTTGTTCTTGATGTGGGTGTCATGTCTGAATCGAGGCTTTTGATCTTTGAGGTGGGCTGAAAAAAGATTTGGACCTTCTTCACATGTGTGACACAACTGCTGGCCATAAGCTGGCCCATTGCACCTGCCTTTGCATGCGGACCAGTTCTTGCTTTCATTTTACCGTCACGACTGGAACCATGCAACGTGTCGACCACGGCCCAGAGGAGCTTCTGGCCACAGTTTCCACTTGGCATTGAGATCTTCTGCCTGATCAGTTGCATTGTCGAATTATGTGAAGTCACTGACGACGCCCAATGGCATCTTGCACTTTTGGAACGAATCCTCAAGCCGCGTCGAACCGCAGGATGGATACGCAGACTTGAAGCTGGAAGTATAGCCAGCTCCCTTGAAAATTCCAAGTGCAGCAGACTGGTTCTTGACCTTTCCCTCCCCGCAGCTTCGCACACCTGACTTGTTGCACTCTTTGCACAGCACCCACTTTCTGGTTCGGGCAACCAGTGCGCTGACCTTAGAAGTGATGACATGTGTAGGTTGGCCTTATGGGTCTGGGAAATCTTGACCCCCTCCCTTACTCCCGAATCCATGGCTGCGCAATCTGCACCTGGGCTCGTAACAGCCTGGTCTAACAAACTCGCAGCGCCCACGAACGAAATGTTTGCCAGAATCATGTTTTCTGGTTCTCGCACGAGCAGAAATCTTGCATGGGTTCCGCCACAAGCTGGGCAATCTAGCTCTACTTACAGATCTTACACATCTGAGAACAGGACAGGATTGCGGACTGCAGGTATATCTATATATATATATATGTAGAGAGAGAGAGAGAGAGAGAGATTGGCAGGATGTCAATAGCTTGTGTTGTCCGGCCTTCGATGGCCCCATCAGCAAGGACTCGAAGTCCTGAGGTTCCGCCTGACCACTCCAGTAGGTCAAAACAGGCCGCAGCATATGTATACGTGTATATATATGTATACATATTACTCATTTGTTTGTGCGTGTAGGAATCTTGTTGCCAGACATCAGCAAACTAGCCTGTGTTTGCACAGGTGGGGCCACTGGAGCCTGACATTCAAACAGCAACTGCCAACATTCTTTGTGTCAGACCGGCTGCTATGCATCGCTATGCCGTGCGGACCTGGGCACCCAAAGCGTGTTCTGATTCGGCCTCACGAGGCGATCAACCAGCAGCAGGAGGGGCTTTGAACAGCAACCGAAGCGCCTGGGCATCCTTCCTCGCCTCGTACTCCTTCCTCCGTGCAGATTCCACCTGCTATAATTAGGAAGTTGAAATCCGGCATGCCACTACGCAGTGCAGTGTTCACCATCACTGGAGCTGCTACCAAGAAGCTCTTTGCATTAGCTTTTTCGCCACGGTCATCTGCGTCTCCCACCTGAGCTGATGCCCGAGAGGTGGATTTCCCCAGGATTGCGTTGCAACCAGTCAGGCGCAAACTGGTCAAACGAAAGACCCTCTTCTGCCAGGAGCGGCATGATCAATGGCAAAATCCGTTCGGCCGTGACCTGCTTTCAAGCCATTTTCTCTGCGCTGTTGTGACAATCAAGACACTTTCAGGCAAACTTCTCGAAGTGGCCTTCGGTCCAAGGTTTTTGCTCATGGCATCGTAGCACCCAAGCAAGCACATGCATATGGCTGGCGTCCGATCCTGCGCAGGTCAGAAAACTGATTCCAACTGCGGTTGAGTTTGCTAGCGCTGAACCTCTGAGCAAACCCAGCATTCGCACCATTTCTGTGAATGAACCCACTTGCTGCGCGGCTGCTGTTGCAGTGCGCTTAGCATGCTGGTCCGCGCGCTGGATGGCACATCGGAGATGCGTTTCCTTTGCGCCAGGCCCTTTGATCAGGTGGACTCCACCGGAGCGACGCTCTGAGGACTGTTTGCCTGGCCAACTACAACTTTCAGCTATGGCAGCGCAAGTGCCATGCAGCTGCATCGCCTGCCTGGGCTTCGCTTTGGAAGCTCGTGCTCCTTCCTGGTCTGTTATTGGCAGTACCTTGAGGTGGACTTATCCAGAAGGCCTCAGAATCAGCGGCACATCAAAATCCGCCAGATGAACCTAAAACAACTCATTTTGCAACGCCTCCCATCCACCAGGGCTTCCCTGGCTCGTAAAGCTTTCTGCCTTATGCAATGGTGGGAGGCAACAGGCGAGCCCAGAAACCGAATACGCACATTCAAGGACGAGGCCGTGGCAAAGCTGCTTTCCCGCATGCCCGGCAGCACCGAGTTGTTGGGGCTAGCAAGTCGGCAAGGGCAGCCACTACAATTTCAAGCGCTCGGCTCAACCAGTGTTCTGCCTTACCATAGCTTGTGCTTCAGCTCGGCCAACAGCACGGAGCACCATGATCAAGTAGGCTAACTGCAGCTATCAAACATGCTACCGCGGTCTCTTGTCCAAAGCGCTTGCACTTGGCACAGTAAAGCCTCCAGCAAACGGCCGGTAACCCAACACTCGAAGCAAGGCCTCAAAAGTGCCAGGCGGTCGTCCGTGAGTGCATACCGTGCATGACATTCTCAGGACTTCGCCACGGAAAGTATCGGCCAACCAGGGCTTGTACGACACTCAATACAAGCATGCAAACCTGATGTATGACACCACTTCTCACCACCCATGTGAATGGCTCACCAAGATGTGCATGGATGCGCCGAGTGCTTGGCAGAACTGGCGGAGACCTTACTCGGTGCCAGCAGAAGGGCTGCACAGCACATTATCAAAACATGGGCACCCGAGGCAAAGACCAGGGCTGAGGAAACCAAGGTTCGACGGAAGACTGCATTGCCAGCATCGGCAGTGAGCCAGGAACCTCCAGCTCTGCAAGAACATATAACAACGCAAGAATGGCCTTCGACAATTGAACGTTTCAGCTCTGGACGCATCCGCCTGTATAGATGCCTGGTCGAGCCAATGCATTTGAGACTTAGAATAGCTGCCTTCTACAAATTGCAATTGTTCTCGGATTTTGTTGGGATAACCTAAGCTTTCAGTTCCCGAGGAGTGCGCCAAGCGATGCTGACTCCGAGGAAAGCAGCTCCGACACTGAGACAGGAGAGCCAAAAGAAGTACAACCTGAGCGACGTGTGCCCTTTTCAGTGCAACTAAAATGCAGAGTTCTCAGACCCAAGCCCTTCCAGTACGAAGTGTTCACCCTGCAAATACCTCGATGTCAATTCATGGTGATTGGCGAGTTCCACCGAGCACTTTTGTCTGACTGAGCTGGCTCAGACCAGCACTAGCAAGTCGACTCTAACTCCAATCATAAGCTGCGAACATGAAATCGTGCGCAGCCTCCAGTATCAGGAAAAGGAGGCACAGCAGAATCAACGGATTCTGGTACCTGCCAGGGTTCTCAGCCATGTTTGGTCACTCCAACTCAGTACTTGAATGCGAGCAGACGGGTGGATCACCATGGCTTCTCCACCGCTTGGTCCATGAAGTCGATCAGCCGAAGCCAGTACTGGCCTGACTGTACACTGGTAGACTCGGATTCTGAGCGGCTCCTTGCCAGTGATGGTTGCATGGCTGGGAAGCCGGCAGATGCATAGAAAAGCCGCTGCAGACAGTGGAAAGAAGGCTGTGTAGGAGGCACCCGCCTGGTCACGGCATCTTGCTGCATCTTAAACGAAGATCAGTCAAAGTGGCCAGCGCACCATCCGTTCAAGGAAGCTCCCCCGTGACAGAGGGCTGTGAACCATGGTCGCCTGCCGAGTCAGGGACATACCTCCGCACTGCCTATGAGTCCTCAATGCCTCATAGCCTGCAGACTGTCAACCTGATAACTCCTATAAGAAATCAAACCCCGCCATGCTGTGGATGGCTGACTCATTTCGGCATGGGCTCTATGATGTCTCACCATAACGCGCTGCCTACAATTGACAGAGTGCAACGTGCTCTCTGTTTGTGTGTGAATTTAGGCCCGAAGCAAGGTCACTTACAGTATGTGTTCTCCAAGCAATCTGCGCACGTTTTCAGGTGATGTTTCGGTGATTCTTCAACCCATCAACATGTCTCACGCCGCACCTCTCACATACCTTGCATCATTCCTGTAGGGAGCGACTCTTGCAGGAGGTGTGGCTGTACAAGGTTCCATGCATGCACGTAGTCTAATCCGCCGACCTTGGGGGGCGTGTTGGATAGTTTCAGTAACGGAGAGGGTGAAAACCCTCTTCTTTTCTCCCTTACAGCCTAGAAACGCGGGGGGGGGCGGGGGGCGGGGTAGGGGGGGTATCCCGTTCCCGCTTGCCTCCAGGCCCCCACCT